AGATGGGAACTCCTGAAATCATATTTTTACAGAGTTTTTTGTTTTGTTCCTGTCTCGTTTCAGTTAAGGGGTTTCTGATTCCGGTTGGTCCGTTTACGTTGCGTTAGGTCTGGTGTATAAAGGGTTTGTGTTCGTTCGGGTCGTGGTGATATTTTCGTTCCTTAGCTTTCCTTGTTCGTTACGGTTGGTCATGATAGGGATTTTAAGTGTTATATATGGTTGAAGAGTCCGGCTTCACGTAAAAAGGCGAGTAGGGCCGCTATTCTTGTTGGCTCATTACCTAGAGCATCGCGGATATTCTCAGGAATGTCGTAGCATGTTCTAGCTCCTTCATACTTTGGACAATGACAAATGAAGTGTTCCACAGTTTGCGGCGTGAGGCATATATCGCATATCCTTCTAAAAGGCCCATCTCCCTTGTAGTTGTGGGAGATATTTGTATGGCCAGTTCGGAGACGGGATATCACGACCTGCTCTCGGTGCAGTGATTGATCGTCCCATCTAGTAATATTCTCTTTTAATTTTCTAATAGCTGGTGTTCTAGCTGCTATCCAGTCGCGGCTCCAGGAATCCTCGATAATTTTGGTTACCCATTTTTTTAAGATCTGGTCCTGGTACCTCTCGCGTATATTTGGCCATGTGCCGACCAGAGGCTGCTAGATGGTCCGCCTCTACATTCCCCCGAACACCACAGTGCCCTGGGATCCAAACGAATGTTGTGTTATTTGGTGCATGTTCCTGGATCGCCTGGATCCAGGGGTGTCTACTCGTTTCGGACTCAAGGGCAGCAACCACACTGGTGGAGTCGGTGAAGATGGCTATCGGTCGTTCATCGGAGGTGGTGGCAGCGATGAAAGCCGCGGCGGCTTCGACGGAGAATATCGAACACTGGTCTGGCAGTCGATGACATTCGCTGAGATTGGGACCACAGATCCCGATCCCCACCTTCCCCTGAGCGACCGAGCCATCGGTGTATCTGATTGAGTATCCTTCGTATTTTTGTTTTTGAAGGTGTAGGACCGTTTGTGCCACTGCTAAAGGGTTGGAATCTGCTTTAAACTTATTTTTGATTGTAGGGTCGGTTCGAATTTTTGGCAGGCTCCAACCCCTGGCTCCACACCAGTGGACCCTGGACACCGGTGGGAGTACTTGGTTGGATGATTCTCTGAGGAGTTGGTTAGCCTCAACGAGGAGGAAACCTTCCTTCCTGCTACCGGACGTGTTTTCACAGTGGCTGATGGCTCGATGGCAGATTGTTTTGGTTATGTACCTGTTGAAGGGGAGCACTCCGCCCTCGATACAGGCAGCTATTCCAGGAGTACCTGGGAGGAGGCCCGATGATAATCGTAAGGCTTGCTGGTAGACGGGTGCAAGTTTTTCCACCAGCAGAGGCATTGCGAGGTAGGTTGCTTCAATCCCGTATGTTAGGCGTGAGTTTATGATAGCTTTTGCAACGTTCAGACGAGTCTGCCGGTTGGCATTTGGGTGGTGCCCAGCCAGAGTTTTCAGCAGGTTGATTCGCTGTTTACAACTGCTTTTAACCTCGTTGAAGTGCGGGCCGAATGTGAGGTGACGGTCGAAGCAGACTCCGAGGATTCGAATGGTTTTATGGAATGGGACTGGTTTCCCGTTGATGAGGATCTTGGTGCTCAAGACCTTGTGATTGGTCGAGCATACGTGTGTATACCCGCTTTTGTTTGCGGAGAGCTGAAATCCAACTGACGAAGCCCAGGTTGATACGTAGGCGGTGGCTTGTATAAGTTTTCTTCGTAATGCTCTGACTGTTGCTCGGACCACCATGAGAACGATATCATCAGCATATACAAATATAAGGACTCCTTGATGATGAAGATGCTTCATCAGCACCCGTCAGCACGTCGTCGACGTAAATACCTCTAATAGCTTTCTGGACTGCATCCGGAAATTGTCTTTGATGGGAGAGCAGCACCCGTCAGCACACATTTTGTCTCTAGATACGAAGCGCTCTTGGTACCGTAAATAACGGTATTTAGGCAATATTCCTGGATCGGTTCGTCCTCTGACCAGCGCCACAAGATTCGGATGTAGTTTCGATCTTCGTCGTTGAGCAGCGCCATTCGATACATATGCTTCACTTCACCAGCGAGTACCACTGGGGGAAACCGGAACAGTAGGATGTTGACCAAAGAATTCTGCAATACAGGGCCCGCCGGAAGGATTTTGGTGAAGCATCGTAAACCACTCTGCACTTCGTCGTCGAGCTATCTTCCTTTAAGAAAACACAACTCTTCGAAGCTAGTGTAGTGGCGAGACTCATGTGCCCGAGGTCGATGTACTCTCGCATAAAGGAATAGAACTGTTCTTTTAAATTGGGACTCCTTTCCAATTTGCGCTCGAGATGTAGCAGTCAGAAGTAGGGCTCTCCAAGTACGGGGGCCGAACGATATATTTTCCGGAACTATCGCGAATCGTGTGCTTTGTGAAATGCTTTGAATTCGTGTGCTCCTCCAGTTCCCAGAATTTGTGGAGTTGATCGGAGAAAGGATCAGTGGAAGCCATCAGTAAGCACGAAGGAGCATTAGTGCGTGGTTGATTATCACAGTGTTCTGTAGTACAGGAAGGCAGTCGTCCGAAGTAAGTTAGATGTTTCCAGGCTCAAGAATCTGGATGAAAAGTTCGTTGCCGAGAAGGATGCTGATTTTTCCTGGATGGTGAAATTGGGGATCAGCCAACTGAATCGATCCATAAATTGGCCAATATGCGATATTGATTCGCTTTAGTGGGAGCTCGGAAGTTACTCGCTCCAGAATAATGCACCGCACTACATTTTGATAGTCCGATTTGCGTGACCGTGAAATTCTGCAATGTCACCGTGGTAGAAATACTTCCGTGGTAGAAATACCCAACTTCTTACACAAATCCTCAGTGATGTAGCTTGTGTGGGATGCGCAATCAAGGAATGTTCGGCAGGTATGCAAACGCCCGAACTTATCGATGACGTTGATAGTAGTGGTTAAGAGAAGAACGTTGGTGTCCGTCGAATCGATCGACAAGCTTTGGAGTAAAATCAGCGTTTGCGACATTGAGGACAAACCAGATGAAGTGGTTGTGGTCGCTGTACTGCTTGGTGGCGTTGAAGATGCTGTCGGTTGGAGTGCCTCGTGCAGACGAGTATGATGTGGATCATTACATAATATCCGACAGCTGCCGGACCGGCAAGGTTCACCGGAATGCTGCTTTAGGTAGTTCTCACAGAGCTCATGCCTACGGATAAAACGGAGTCGATCATCGGAACTGACGTGGAGAAACTTACCACACTGATACAGTTGATGCGGTGATTTTGCACACAAAAACGCACATTGGTGGCGGAGAATGGTACCCGATGGTGATGAGAGCTGTTGGTCCCCGGATAGGAGTGGTTTGATGAACGATTTCTTCTGGCGAATCGGCTGAACGGATTTCAGAGCACAACTTTGCGCATCAACGAACTTCGGGAACTTCTCCAAGGTAACTTCATCGTCGTTGAGCTCCGAATTTTTTCTGACACCACAACTGCTTGCTTTCAGAATCTAGTTTCTTGGCCAGAATGTAGCGATGAATGTGCTGTGCAGTGATTTCGAGCGGCTTGTTGCATCTAGGATTCAGTCCACCCCACACGACAGAAGTTTCGTCAATGTTCCCACCAATATTTTCATGTCAATACTTTCTACAATATTTTCAGGGTCGCTTCTCACTAACATTGATGTATCCGATGGAATATTCCGAGTCAAATCACAACCACCTTGACAAAAGTTGCCAAGAAACAGGCACCATCTCCTTTAGTCAAACAGAAGGGGAAAATTAGGGGAAATATTGAAACATGAAATCAAACTTTTCTGATTTTGCTCATTAATATTTTCGTCGTCAATATTTGCATCAACATGATTGTCAATACTACCCTACTCACATTTCTCAATCCGCATCGAATGTCCGTACAGAAAAAAATGCAGATTTTTATTAATAGTAAAAAAAATTGAGATTAGTGACGTTTAACGCACGCACCCCAACAAACATTTAATGCTGAATAAGAGCTTATTCAGGCAAAAATATACTTCTTCAGCTAAAAAATGGCTTATTCAGCTTTTATTCAGCTCATATTGTTTGTTGCGACACTAGCGGGTTCATCGCCGTGTAAAGTTGTTTATTGTTTTCCTGTCTTCTTCTTCTTCTTCGCATTTCAAGCTTATTGCATTTCACATATTAGCTTATTACGTGCTCTCAACTTAGTGTTCTAGATGCACTTCCACAGTTATTAATTGAGAGCTTTCGATGCCTGTATCATTTTTGCATTAGTATAATTGTGTGGCAAGTCCAATCATACTTCTATGCCCAGGGAATTCGAGAAATTTTCCAACCCGAAAAATTCCTAGACCGGACCGGGAATCGAACCCAGCCACCTCCAGCATGGTCTTGCTTTGTAGCTGCGCCTTTACTGACTGAGCTAACCCAAGTAACATTGCAATGTTTATCGAGGTTTTAAAGCATGCTACAAGACTAAATGACGGTTTTCAGAACCCTTATAAAACCAAAATTGTTACTTGGGAAGGGAGGCCCCTCTGGCTAACCTAAAAAATGTATGAAATTTGTTATGTATTTCCCTCGCAACCAATACAACCGGACGTGAAAATCTCTATGGACCACATCCCCAACAGTTAAGCACACGGACCAATCGTCAACAACAGCCCCGTTAAGGCTTGGCAATCTAAAAATACATAGCACACGGTCAATACTGGGAAATTCAAGCTGCTTACATCTGTTCCCGAGCGATAAGACATGACAGTGAATAAGCCGGAAAGTTTTGATAGCCCTATCTGTCCGGAATAAATCACTCTCGACGGGAGTCCGCGCAGATAGCAAAATAGGTTCGCGCCTCGAATTTGTTGCGTTGGATACACATTCAGTTCACGATCAAGCTCAATTTGTGCGGATATTCAGATTACTCCGTTGCAAAAACAACGTCGATCAACTCTATAAACCGCGAGATAAAACAATGTGACTGCAAGTCAGTGTTTATGTGAAACTTAAAACAGTTCAACGAAGACTTCAACTCGAGCGGATCAACACCGGACGATCATCATGGATCACTCCAAACCGACGACTGCCGTGACCAACGAGAAGGGTGTAACCTTTGACGATGCTCTCTCCATGGCCAGTAAGTAGACCACATTTTACACTTGATGATCCTTCAACCTTCAACCTATGGACTGTTCCAGAATTCGGCGTATGCAACATCGTTCTGATGGCCATTTCCGGGACGATCCTGGCAGCCTTCCTGCTCGAAACGTTGGGCATAAGCTACGTGATCGCCGTAGCCGGGTGCGATCTGCAGTTGTCAACCCAGGAGAAGGGAAGTCTCAGTGCCGTGGGTTTCCTGGGAGTCATTGTCAGTTCTCACCTGTGGGGCTTCCTAGCGGATACCCGCGGCCGCCGGAAGGTGATCGTGCCGACGCTGTTGCTGACATTCGTAATGACGGTCATATCCAGTTTTATGACCAACTTTTGGTTGATAACCTTCTTCCGATTTTTGGCCGGAATTTTGTGAGTATTGAGAGTAGAAGGAAGTTGATCTTTGATCATGATCATGGTGGTTGATTGCAGCATTTCTGGATCGTCGGCCACGATTTACGCCTATCTGGGTGAGTTCCACAATCAACAAAACGGTTCGCGAGCCATCATGGGAGCGTCTTTCGTGTTCGGTTTGGGATGCATTCTGCTCCCGGGCATTGCCTTCGGCGTGATCAATCAAGAATGGGAGCTCCTGATCAGTCCACTAGGTATTATCTACCGCCCATGGCGGTTGTTCTTGGTAGTCTGCAGCATTCCCGGCCTGATCGCGGGTTTCATCTTGATCTGGTTTCCGGAAAGTCCCAAATTTGTGCTCATGCAGGGGGACGTCACACAAGCGATCGAGACGGTTCAGTGGATTCATCGATTCAACTGCGGTAGGAAGGTGGAACCGCTTCCGATTGAATCGATACTCGGTGAAACGGAGGCTCAGCAATCGAAAGATCGTCGGGCCGAGTTGAGCAGAACGAAGGGAATCTCTGCGTTGGCAAAACTGGTTTGGAACCAGACGGCTCCGCTGTTCATGGGATCGTTCCTGAAGAAGACCATGATCGTGTGCTTCCTTCAGTTTGGTACGTACCTAACCTCACACGGAACGTACATGTTCTTCCCGAGTATTTTGAATCAGGTCATGGAAGCTCGGGAGACCGGTCAGGATCGTTTCAGTATTTGCGAAGTTGTTTACGAGCGGGGAAATTTCAGCACTACGGAGCTGGATGCCGATGAAACGTGTCACCAAACGTTGGATGTGACCATTTATGAAATGTCGTTCATTTTGGAAGTGATCTACGCTCTAGGGTTCGCCATTATCGAAATGATCATCAACACCGTGGGAAGGCTGCCGATTTTGGTGTTTGTGTTTGCTGGCTGTGGCATCGCGGGGTTACTGATGACTTTTGTGGACATCCCAATGCTCGCTGTCTGGTGCTACATGATACTGGTGATGTGCGGCTTTGCGGGCAGTATAGTAAACGCGATCACGGTGGACCTGTTTCCGACTAATTTGAGGTAAGGATCGTGGTGAGAATTCGGGGTATCAAACTTTTCTGAACGATGTGATTCTACAATTCTAGGGCAATGGCCGTCTGCATATCGTCGATGTTTGGCCGTCTGGGAGGAGTTGCCGGCGCTAATTTGTTTGGTTTGCTGCTGGAAACCCGGTGCGAGCTGACCTTTGCCATCCCCGGAACGCTATTGATCGCCTGCGGGCTGCTGTCGTTCTTTATTCCGAATATCTATAGGCGAGGCACACGGCCGGAAATGAGACACAGCGTTTCTTCCAGAGTGTGATCGATGTATTATTATGATAAAAAAGGGTTTCTTCCTGAAAACTGAATTGTATTTATGATTGGAAATCAAAGGAAACTTACAGCGGGTGATTGTGTTTTGCGGGCAGCGTAGCTCGAACTAACATTTTCAACGACGGGAACATTCACAGCTTTTGAAGCACTAATTAAATGCCGCTCGAGTTTGCGATCAATTAATTCGTATGCCTATCGTCACATGAATTAATTGGTTGGACTCGATTCGGCAGAGGCAAGCGTTTTTATTTGTAGATGTAGGAGGACACCATTTACTGTCATCTGATTGAAGCGCTGAGATATACGAACAACCGATTGTAGTATAAAAAAACAGCATCCACTTTAGAATGTACCAAAGAAACGGGGAAACAAGCAGGAAAATTACAATTCAAATGATCCGTACGTACTTTAATATTGCCATTTTGTCATGAAAATGATTTTAAAGTCGTTCAATGCACTATGGGCCAGGAATGCAATCTAGCGGGATAACTTCGAAACGAAGCATTTCCTTGACTTGGTGTATTCAGCAAAGCTTCTCACAATAGTTAGGAGTCCTAGCTTAGGACCATCTATTTACATTAGCAGACAGTTTGATACTCATGCGCATAGATGAATCTAACTTTATACTCTGACATTCTGGAAACTTGACATCTTAGACAAAGTTGTTCATCTTAACAAAATAAACAGCTCTTCAATAGACGTCAACATTCCACAGCCTACTGTTTTAGAGTTATTTGGAAAACAAGAAATATTTCTCGAAAAAACTGTTTTTCCAATATATTTTGATAGTTTCATTAACAACCAGGTAAGTTTATTTTTTTTCCTGATGTAAATATACTAAACACAAAACTTTTGCTAAGATATAAAGATTTTGAAATTTGATGTTGCGAGACAGAAGGGGGTCTTATGAAGGCCAAATCTCAAGTCTCAAACTATAATGTCTAAAATTAGCCACATGCCCCAAACAACCACTAGAACGGCTCATTGTGAAATCCGGGATGTTCAGTTGATCATCGCTACTTGAATCGCTGAGAGTATCTGCCGAGTTTTCGTATTCTGAATCCACCATTTCAGTTAACAACCTTGGCGCGGCTGTTTTAACTAACTTCTGTTATTAGTCACCTCTTGCCAATAATTCGCCGATCGGCCGCTTATTTCTACATCCTGCCTTGCGCTGGTTTTCTATGTGAAGCATGGTCTTCCAATTGTCTTCTTCACCGGGATTACGTGTATAGGGCTCTCCTGATAATCTGTTGTGTAATCTGTAATGTTTTTAAAAAATTGAATGATGTTCTATCCCTCTATCATGGCTATATGTTGATCCAGCGTGCAGATAATTAATATCGTTCAAAAAAAGAAAATTGCCACTCGATCAAACCAAATTCAAAGATAGTAGGGTAAACGCTCCTATAGTTATTATTATTATTTTTTTTTATATTATTATTATTATTTGATATAATTCATCTGACACTTTTTTGTCTTAATGAATAACATAATTTAGGGTTCATACAAATATACATAAATAAAATTACACAAATTTAGTCAAGTATTACGAAAATGGTCAGTAAACCGTCGTTGCAGCGTGGACACCGGTACGTTGAAGTCGAATAAATGAAAAACTTCATCAAAGGTAGCTGACATAAATCTAACCGGATCATGCTGTCCATATAGGGTATTGCGGGGTTCAAACTGTAGGAAATTTCGTCGTCGTAGTAAACGTTCGGGGGCGTAGATATTCATTCTTGCTAGTAAGGATGGTGAATCAATGTCATTCCTGAGGATTTTAACGACGAACATCGCTTGAGCAACTTGACGTCTATTTTTCAGCGTTTCTATTCCGAGTAGTTGACAACGATCCTGGTATGGTGTCAGATGCTGAGGATGACGCCATGGAAGGTTCCTGAAAGCATAACGTACAAACTTCCTCTGTACAGATTCGATTCGTGTAATCCAACTATCGTGATAAGGACACCAAACGATTGCTCCAAATTCCAGAATTGACCGTAGTAGAGCACAGTACAATGACCTCAAACAGAAAACATCACGAAATCCACTAGCAATTTTCATAATGAATCCAAGCTGCCTGTTTGCTCTAGAGATGATGTCATCATAGTGGAACCGGAAAGTGAGTTCTTGATCGAGACTAACTCCCAAGTCTCGAATACGTTGTACCCGCGCTAGAGGTTGCCCGGATAACGAATATGGATATACGATTGGCTTGAACTTTCTGCTGAACGTGATTACCTGACATTTCTCGATGCTGAGAGTCATACAGTTCCTTGTGCACCAGTTTTCGAAGGAATTCAAGATATTCTGCAGTTCGAGACAGTCTTCAAAGCTGTTTACAATGACGTAAACTTTAGCATCATCAGCATAGAAAAGTCGCACTCCCGGTGGCCGAATCAGTGACACATCGTTGATAAACAAGGAGAACAACAGTGGTCCCAGGTTGCTCCCTTGTGGTACGCCAGATTGATTAACGAACATCTCCGATTGACTTGAACCGATTTTTACACACAAGGATCTGTTGGTTAGGTACGACCTGAACCAATCCACTGAAGCAGACGTTACACCAATCTTCTCCAGCTTCTTCAGAAGGATGTTATGATCAACCCGATCGAAAGCAGCCTTCAGGTCCATGCAGACAGCGTCCATCTGCTTCCCAGAATCGACTGCTTGAATGCACAGAGAGATAAATTCAGCAAGGTTTGTAGCAACTGACCTTTTTGGATAGAATCCATGCTGATCAACCGAAATGTAATGTTTAGAGCGGACAAAAAGAACGTCGTTCACGATGATTTCAAATACCTTTGAACATGCACACAAGGACGTTATGCCACGGTAATTGCTGACATCTCGTTTATCCCCCTTTTTGAAAACTGGAAACAAGAATGATGATTTCCAATTCGAGGGAAACACTCCTTGTTGAAACGAAAGGTTGAAGAGTTTCATCAAAGGTTGACATAGCGCAGAAGTACATCTTTTCAGCATCGCTGAAGGAATTCCGTCAGGTCCAACAGATAGCGAGAATTTCAGTTTACTTATTGCCCTCGCAACCTCATTTTCATCGATGTAGAAATTGTCGAAGTCCAAGACGTCCTGTGGAGTATCTCGAACTGCCTCTTCAACTTGAGCAGGTTGCGCAGCGAAATTATTGAAGGACAATTTGAATTGGGATGCAAAGAGTTCACATTTTTCAGCAGTTGAGTCAGCAGAGAGATTTCCTAGATACATTGACGAAGGAAGACCCTCTTCGTTACGTTTAGATTTGACAAACGACCAAAATTGCTTCGGGTTGGTACGTAGGTTGCGCTGCATCCGAATTATGTACCGAGCGTACAAGAAACGGTTGTGGTTCCTGTATGCTCGGCTTGCACGATTGAACTGTAGTTTTAAGTGCAACGAACGACTGCTGCAATATTTTCGAAGGCCCGAAGAACGGTGGCGTTTAAGCATTCGCAAGCGATTGGTTGACCAGGGTGGTTTCTGTGCAGCTCCAGCAAGAGGTACATGTTCAGCGATAATACTGCTTACAGCGTTCGTGAAAAAATCCACAGCATCATCCAAGTTCTGGAATGAATTAAGGTAACTCCAATCGATAGCAAGTAGAGCTTGATTCATCGCAGCAAAATCAGCCTTTCGGAAATTGAAACTGGTGTTATCATGCACCGCTTCGTATGAAACTGGGACCGTATGGGATAATGCAACCTCTATGGCTGGATGATGAATATCAATAGAAGTCAGTGGTTCGATGGCTTCTGAAACCGTACAATTAGGCAAAGTGATGTCATTTGCAAGTATTAGATCGAGGATGCGGCCTTTTGAATTTGCAATCTGGTTGAGCTGCGATAATCCATGCAAGTTGAATCCGTCCACCAATGCGCAGCTGGCGGTTGAAAGACGGGAACGATCCATGTCCACAGAAGAGTAACCGTTTTCATTTGATATCCAAAATACGTCTGAATGATTGTAATCGCCAAACTGAAGAGCCAAGTCGTTAGCTCCTAGACCAGCGGCGACCGCACCAATTGAGTCTATGTGCAGTTGAATATCGTTGAGATCGTTTTTCCGATCGGGTGGAATATAAATAACTCCGCCGCTGATGATGCAACCATTCATATCAATTCTCACCCAAATTTGCTCTAGTGATTTGCAAATGGTTGATGAATCTAAACAGCTACTAAGATGTGTAGAAACAGCTATGAGAACTCCACCTCCACGATTTTTTTACTGTTGAGTGGTTGGCGGTCAGTTCTAAAGACAGAAAAATTATTCCTGAATTGCTGCGATGAAAAGATGCACTCGTCAAGCCACGTTTCCGTCAAAACAATGACATCGTATTCTTTTTCGCCAACAGCCAGGTAGAAGTCGTCAATTTTTGTCCTTAGTCCACGCACGTTCTGGTAGTAGATTCGCAAGTTTTGGTGGAGATCATCAGAGTGGCGAGTTGCTGAGCTGGAACATGCAGGCACATCAGGCAATGGAACAGTTCTATTAAACGCATACTTGCCAGTGTCAGGAGGTTGGAAGACCCCGTCACCATTCTCAACCACAGGGCCAGAACGACTGAGGCGACTGGAACCAGCTTGCACGACTGGGTCAAGAGGGCTAGGGGCTTCCATAACGCAATAGGCAGTGCGTTCTGGTATCGGTGATAGGCCATTAGAGATGTCATCGATGCATGGAGTAGAACATTCACTAGGTTCGCCGTGTCTGCATCCAATATCGTCAGGCGAAGGCAAGATGCAGTGTTCTTGCAATCCTTCTGAAGTGGAAGGTTGGAAGACCCCGTCACCAAGCTCAACTGCAGGGCCAGAACGTCTACGATGGCAGCAACCAGCAAGCGCGACTGAGTCGAGTGGATCAGGGGCTTCCATTAGGCAACAGGCCGTGCATTCTGGTTTGGAGAGTTTATTCGTGTGATGATAAGCTTTGATGAAATCGGAGAGGCGAAAAGCTGTGCTGGAACACGAAAAGTCATCAGGCAATGGAATGATTTTATCGAACACATACTTGCCTGAAAAAGGAGGTTGGAAGCCCCCATCACCATTTTCGACCGCAGGTCCAGAACGGCTAAGATGACAGGAACCAGCAAGCGCGACTGGGTCGATAGGCTTAGGGGCTTCCATAAGGTGCATCTCTTGATAGTTGCGATACGTTAGAAGCGTTAGGTTCCTATATTTGTGTATTGAGTCTCCATGCCCGTGATGTGATGTCCGATTACCACTCGATTAATCGAGCTAATCGATTATCTGTTAAAATAATCGATTATTCAATGGCTCGATTATCTGCTAATTGATTAATTGGCTTCGATTAATGTACGATTATTTATATATTCATTGGAAGTAGGATTTGAATTTATTTTAGTGTATATAGACTTTAACTATTTTGTTTGTATTACTACATACGTGAAGTTAACGATTTACATATTCGAAGATACTAAGCGTCAAATAATAAGGCTGTTATTAAGTGGCCATTTTTATAAAGACTGGAACGCACAAAAATTGGTCGACAAAAAAAATCGTTTCTTTCAGTGAAATTCATATCACAAAAATCTTCATTTTTTTGGTTGCTCCAATTCATATATTTAAAGGAAAAAATGTTCGTTTATTCTTTTGGTTTGCCAAATCCGAACTGCAGTGCCTTCCGCTCAACCCCTTCCATTAAATTTTGCACAGTGGTCTCATCGACCTTATTCGCCGCCGAACGCCAGTTAGATTTAAACTGCTGCTCGTTTTCCATGGATTTATTAGTTTTTTTTTAGATTCCGTTTGATCAAGGCCCAATACCGTTCGATAGGGTGGAGTTTTGGACTGTTGGGAGGGTTGTGGTCTTTGGGTACCACAACCACGTTGTTCGCATCGTACCACTCGATTGCCTTTTTTCCCAAGTCCGGCCAGGTCTATTATGTTGCTTTAGGAATGGTAGCAGCCGCTTTTCCAGGCACTCCTGGACGTAGATCTCTTGATTGATGGTTCCCGTAGTAATGAAAATGCCGTTTTTTAGACCACACGTGCATATGGCCTGCCAGAAGAGATATTTTTTCGGAAACTTCGATAGTTTGATGCCCAAGTAACCAACAAGCCCGCTAATTCACCTTTTTGCAATATGCGGCTAATGTAAAGCTTAGCTGCCCTATGTTAGCCGTGTATCAGTCTTATATTGCAAAAAGCCGAAATAGCGGGCTTTTTGGTTACTTGGGTGGTTTTGAAAATTTCAGAAACCTTCCCTTTTCCTGATGCGGTAAAAAAACTCCTGTCCCGGAAGCTGCTTGAAATCCGCCTTCACATAAGTTTCGTCGTCCATGACGACACAGTCGAACTTTGTGAACAGATTCAAATACAGCTTTCGGGACCGCTGCTTTGCCGACGTGTTTTGTTTGTAATCTCGGTTCGTCACCTTCACTATCTTAAACTTCGACAACCCGGTTCGTTTCTTGGCCCGCTGCTTGGGACCGAAGATAATACCAGAGCTGAGCCAAAAAGTTGAGCTCGTTTCTTCGGGACCTTCTGGTCTTAGAGTTACCTCTATGGTAGTATGGGAGACATTGAGCTTGCCAGCGACGTCCCGGATGGAGAGGTTAGGATTCCGCTTATATTTCACCGCCACCTTCTTCGTCGTCGCTGCCACGTCCGGATTACGATTGTCACCGCTTCCAGGCTTCCTCTACGGCTTCCTAGCGGTCAACAGATGCTCCCGAACACTTTTAACACGTTTGTCACGGTCAATTTGGCCACATCCAGTAATTTTGCCAACTTGGCGTGTGAGAACGTCAGATTCTCTTGATGCGCAAGCAAAATTTTGACACGCTGCTCCTCTTGCTTGGACGTCATTTTGAAAACTGGAGAGCAAACAGTGAAAATTCATCATAGCAACCATTGTATATACACTCAGCTTCCAAATGCAGCATTTCAGGTTTTTTTCATATGCACTTTTAACAGAAATACACCAATTTGAAGTTGACCAATTTTTGCGCGTTCCAGACTTTACAATAGATGAGGAGAGATAATTCCGTTAGAGTACGGCAGTGTGAAAATTGTATATAGAGAGTAGAAAGCGAGCAAGAACAACTTTGAGGAAGGTACAAATCGGATTGATCATCTCTCTTTACCAAACTCCCCAGTTGGAGAGGGATGGCGAGGGATGTCCCCCACGCCACCACTGGCAAAAAGAGATGATCACCGATTTGCTCATGTACCTACGATGTGTGGAAACAGTTCTATCGATTGTACCGCACTCAAGTCGTTATCTGAAAGAAGGCATGTAGTCGTAGGTTTGGAAATTGCAGCTATTGTTGCCTCTACCACTGTACGTGCTCCTGTCATCGTCATCTATCGTATAAAAATGACCACTTTAAGTCTATTGACGCTTAGCATCTTTAACTATGTATGTAGAACTTGCCACCAAGCCAATAGAGCATCGATTAAACTATGTTTCATCCCAACTTGAAGTTCAGAACGTCTATTCTCTAAAGCAGGTCAGACAATAACAAAGTTGAGAAACCGTTTGTATGGCCCTCATCTCAGACTATTTCTGGATATACTATTGGAGAAGTTGTTTGTTTCGAGTAGTATTTTTTTCGGGCAATGAGATTGCAGTCCAAAGTCAAAATCAATTCGTTATAAACATGCAAGTTGTCTTTTCTCTCACTATTAATCTAATAAAAACGTTAATAAGAATTAAAGAGTAAAAGCGTATTTTATTGAATTGTTATACCTATCTCGAAACAATAATTTACACATGATCCAAGGATGAATAATCAACATCTGGCTTTCTGAAAGACGTTGGTTTTCTTTATTATCAGAGAGTATTAACATTAATCGATTATTTCTTGTCTTATTATTAAAAAAATGTAATCGATTAGTTGGGAAAATCGGACATCACTTATATAGGTACCTAATGCTTCTAAGGTACCGCAACTATAGGAGCGTTTCCCCTACCTCTATGATGTCGCATTCCAAGGTCGGGAGTACTGTTCGAACGAGCAACGCAAGTACTGCAAGAGAAAAGAATCCAGATGTAGCCGACGGTTACCTACTCTCTGCAACGAAACGGTGTGGCAGAACGCTTCAACCGGACGTTGGTCGAGAGGGTGAGGACGATGCCGATCGATTCCAATATGCCGAAAAACTTGTGGTCGGAAGCGGCGCTAACAGGAACGTACTTGCTAAATCGTAGCCCAACTCGAGGGATACGTGACTCCTGCCGAATGCTGGTTGAAAGCGAAACCAGATTTTGGAAAGCCCCGTCTATTCGGCTGCAAAGCTTTTGGAGGAAACTGGACAAAAAGGTTGTGAGGCGGTGATGATCGGTTATGCCTCGAACGGATACCGGCTCTGGGATCAGACAACGAAGAAGGTATTCATTGCGCGTGACGTCAAGTTTGACGTTTCATGAGTCAAAATACGCCGAGAAAAATGTACCGCTGCTTATTTCCCTACGTTACCAGCAAGATGGGATAAGATGAAGATGATGATGCTATGAAGATGCTGAAATCCGATTTGGAATCCGGCTTCGAGGAAGAATTCTACGGCGTAAGCAATGGAAGCGACATCGAATCCAGCGATACACCATCCGGTGTTGAAAATCCTGGCGCGCTCTCTTCGCATCAAAGAAGTGGAGACTGTGAGGAGTCAATCACGGGGCTCAGCGAACGGGAACGCAAGCTCCCAAGTAAGTTCCTTTCACGGAACCACCGACGAAATCCATTGTCGCGACGATCGTGAGTCCTGGTTGGAAGCAGTCAAGGACAGGCTTCGCGAAAATCCAACGAAGTATGACAGTTGGTGAAGCGTCCGGCGTCAGTCCAAGTGAATTTTCCGTGTGAAGGAGGATGAACATGGCAACGCTATCAAGTGCAAGGTTCGGTTGGTCGTCATGGGTTATCTGCAAAAGCCTGGAATGAACTACCAGGAAACATACGCTCCGGTTGGGAAGTTAACCACCATTCGAACGGCGCTGTTTCTTCCACCAGATGGACGTCAATGTGACATTTCTTCATGTTGCGTGAGGAAATTTATATGGAAGTCCCCGGTGGCGTCCCTGCTGGAATGACAAGTTCAACGATGTGCTTTTGAAGCTTGGTTTCGCCTGTACATATGGTACAGCGAGGGCGGCAAAGATGCAGTGTTTATTGTGCTGTACGTCGATGATTTATTGATAGTAGGCACGAATCTGAAGACGAACCAGGCGCTGAAGAAACGACTATCTCATGTGTTCGAGATTACGGACTGCGGTATGTTGAAGCATTTCCTAGGGATTAGGATCAACTACGATCGCAACGCCGGGACCATGCAACTGTCGCAGGCAGTAAACATCACAGATCTCCTTGCGAAGTTTGGCATGGCTGCTTGCAATCCGTCAACGACACCTATGGAATAAGGATTGGAACTTGTGGTGAATGAAGGACAAACAACTGCAGAACCTTACCGCGAGCTGTTTGGAAGCCTCATGTATGTTATGATGTCCACCCGTCCTGACATGTGTTACCCGGTTGGCTATTTGGGCCGATTTCAACAACAACCCGGCCAACAACATTGGATCGCACTGAAGCGTGTAGTGCATTATCTGCAGCTGAAGAGGAACGAGCAAACCAAACCACTCGTCGGATACACAGATTGGGCCGGTGACACTACCGACCGGAAATCAGTAAGCGGTTACTTGTTCCAATTGTACGGAAACACCGTTTCGTTGTCCAGTAAGAAGCAGACTACTGTGGCCACATCATCGAGCGAGGCGGAATACGTGGCATTGAGTGCTGCAGCGACTGAAGCTATCTTGCTTACAGGATTATTAGGCGATCTTGGTTTTAAGACCGTCGAACCTGGTCCTATTTTCGAGGACAACCGAGGATGCATCGGAATGACGAAAAACCTCGAGTGCAAACGGGCCAAGCACATTGACATTAAACAGCACCTTGTGTGAGACCACATTGCAGCTGGAAGTGTGAATGTGGAAGTCATTTCGATTTTGGATCAACTAGCAGATATCTTCACCGAAGCATTGGATGCTGGTCGATTTGAAGCCCTAAGAAGGAAGATTGGAGTAGACGATCGAGAGGGGGTGAAAACACAGTAGGCTTTTTTTTATTTGAATCGATCGCCTTGGCACCTGCTGGGTGAAAATTCTATTGGTCGTTAGTCGTTAATAATCACTAGACGCGAACGGCCACTTTTTAATTCGTTATAATAAACCTTTTAAGTTACGTTTAATTCCACGTGTTAGTTTTTTCTGTGCTCCGGAAGACCGAAGTGCTTTTAAATATCGTCATGACCTTGAGATTCAGTAAAGGATTTTATATCATTCACGCAGAAAAATGGATTTTTGTTTCAGGGCCTAATGTATTTTGTTCTTGATTCAAACATATTGTATCACTATTTCAACAATACATATTTTTGAATCAACAAAATAGTTTGCAGAATCAACAAACAGATTATTAACTCTACAACCGGTTTGTTGATTCAAAAATATTTTTCTTTGAATTAACCGAATAATATATTTGAATCTATGCCAAAAATATATTAGGCCCTGAGCCAAAAATATATCCATTTGAATTTAAGAATCATTTCTCTGCGTGTTAAATATGCTGAATTGGAATGCTCGATCTATGAGCGTTCATAATGTGCGTATTACCGTTATAACTGAAACGTTCCTTAAACCTGACCATAAGGTTAAAATGGACGCAAATGATAAATGGAAAAATGCAAAAGTTGTTCCAATTATGAAGCTGGATAAAAATCCAGCAGAAGCATCTAGCTACCGTCCAACAAGTTTGCTTTCTTCAATGAGTAAACTTTTTGAAAAGATAATTTAAAATAGAATGATGCTTCACATCAATACGAACTCAATTTTTGCAGATGAGCAGTTTTGATTTTGCTATGGGCATTCAACTACTCATCAACTCTTAAGAGCTACCAATTTAATTCTTTCAAACATAAATCTGAAGGCTGCTCAATTGGAGTTGCTCTTCTAGACATAGACAAAGCATTCGACAGTGTTTGACACGACAACTTTCTTGAATTTCCCATTTCCAGCATATATTTATACTCTTCAGAAAAGAACTTACGATGTACAGCAGTAGAAATGTTTCCGTTGCAAGTTTACAACTATATTCCAGCAGTCGGACTCATTCACTGACCTAGGATCTAGTAAACCAAGTTTTACGAATCGGTTGGTTGCCAAGCCATTCGCCGACGATGACGACGACCCAAAGTAAAGTCTATTTGCTTCTACTAGATAAGAACAAAGTCAGCATCCCCACCAAACCCAGCTAAAACCATTGAAGATGAATTATAAGCTGTATGCACTACTGTGCAGCTACACGTAAATACAGCTGATTCGTGTTCACCGGTGAGCGTAGATGTGGAAAATTTCAGAAAGCTATCTTGTGATCATAAATCTGCATAACAAACGGTAGCGCTTGGCAGCAATCGCTTAAAGCCTGTCGCATAGCTATGTACGGTAGTCGGTAAGCAGCAGGACTCGGTTCAAAATGGAGCTCGCAGAAAATGGGCCGGGTAAGTGTTTGTTGAATGCATTTACAAGCACGAATTAACAGATCGATTTCAGAGGACAAGCCAACCCGTGTCACCTATGACGATGCTCTCTCGATGGCAAGTATGGTTCTAGAATCGGTTGGTTCACTTAATTACCCGAATTCACCTCTCATCAAGATTTATTGCAGAATTCGGAACATTCAACATCGTACTTTTCCTACTTGCTGGGACAATCCTGACGGCGTTCCTACTGGAAGTCATGGGAATAAGCTACGTAGTTGCAGTGGCGGATCAAGATCTTCTGATCACGACCAAGGAGAAGGGAATCCTGACGGCAGTGGGTTTCATAGGAGTAATCGTAAGTTCTCACCTGTGGGGATTCCTAGCCGATACCTACGGCCGACGGAGGGTGATCGTCCCGACGCTGTTCATCACCTTTGTCATCAGCGCGATCTCCAGCTTCACCATAAGCTTCTGGTCGATCACGCTTCTTCGGTTTATGGCAGGATTTTTGTATGTAGCCAAGCAAACCCCTGTAGATGACCAATGATCAATCCACAATTTTACAGCATCTCCGGCCCGTCGGCCACCATCTACGCTTACGTGGGCGAGTTCCACAGCCGCAAAAATGGGTCCCGTGCGATCATGGCAGTTTCCTTCGTGTACGGACTGGGTGGTATCCTGTTGCCTGCAATCGCTTACATCGTGCTCAGCCAGGACTGGCAACTGCCGATCCCGGTACTGGGAATCATCTACCGCCCGTGGCGACTGTATCTACTTGTGAGCAGTCTACCCGGAGTAGTATGTGCCATAATACTGCTCATGTTTCCAGAGAGTCCCAAGTTCACCCTGAACCAGGGTGACATGCAGAAAGCCATCGAGGCCATCCAGTGGGTTTATCGATTTAATTCCAACTGTAGAGATCGTACGCTGAAAATAGAATACCTCGAATGTGACGCAGAAGATCAACTGGGAAAGCGTGGGCTTGGCACGTCTAATGGTTGCTCAGCTCTGTCGAAGCTGATCTGGAACCAGACGGCTCCGCTTTTCATGGGAACCCATCTACGGGTGACGATCATTGTTTGTGTGCTACAGTTCGGCACGTACTTGACCGCCCATGGATTGTTCATGTTCCTACCGCAGATTGTGGATCAACTAGCAACGGTCAAAGACTCCGGAGTCCAAAGTATCAACGTTTGCCAGATCGTGAACGATCGGATGAATTTCGGTGCGGTGGCAGAGGATGTCCATCCGGATACAGCCAATCAAACGCTGCACGATATGGTGTTCAAACTGTCGCTGCTGATCGAGATACTGTACGCGGTGGGATTCGCAGTAATCGCAGTGATCATCAACACCGTTGGGCGGTTGTCGATTTTGGTGTCGGTCTTCGTCGGTTGTGGAGTGGCAGGAGTCCTGCTGATATTCGTGAGCGAACCGACGGTGGTAATGGCATTGTACGTAGTACTGCTAATGAGCGGCTTTACCGCTAGCGTAGTCAATGCCGTCGTTGTGGACCTGTATCCGACCAGTTTGAGGTGAGATTGGTTTCGTTTGAACAAATGTGCGATGAGATAGTGAGTGGAACTTCTCTTTTTCCTCCAGGGCGATGGCCGTCTGTATTGCGCTGATGTTCGGTCGCTTGGGGACAGTTGTGGGTTCGAACATGTTGGGAGTTTTGCTGGAGAATTACTGTGAGCTCACGTTCGTCATCCCATCGGTGCTGCTGATTGTTTGCGGGCTGCTATCGTTCTTTATTCCAAACATCCGAAAGGGGGTTAGGTCAGGCTCGGGGTAGTTTCGGAAGCGAAATACAGTGGTTCCTAAAATTATTCGATTTAAGGATTTAGTATCGAGTCTCATCCTCTTCAAGTGGGGTTGAAAGAAAGCTTGCAACTATTCTTCCATCGTCGGGGAAAGATGTTCTACGGCGGGTTGAAAAATAGACGCTTCCCATGCAATTGCGTTTAGTATTTTTCATACATATCTGTGAAATGTTTACCTTTTTTGTAGCCGTACAACAAACTGCTTTAGAGCCAGTTTGTTGTACGTTATGCCCTGCTTTTAAATAATTGCTAAAAATAAAGACGGATCCCACCGCACTCTGTGGTTCCAAATGAGCAGTTTCAGACCAAATTTAGCGAAAAAATGTATAAAATTGACCTGCTCCGATTTGTGTGAAACTTTGCATAATTGTTTGTCATGGATAATGATTAACATTTTTACTAACATTCAGCCATTTTGGATCTTGTGAAATTTTCAAAATGGCGTCTTTGAAATTCTTCAACAAATTGTAGCACAGAAACGGCATTTCTGGTCGAAATAACGTCTGAGACAAACTTGTAGAGGAAAATAATGTCTTTCTGAGGAAAATAAACATATTTTTTTATTTATTTTAAGTAGGGTAAGTGTGCCAGTTTTTGGCCCTAGTGGTTCCCTAATGGGTCTCATCTTAAATTTAAATTTTTATTCATTCTTCACCAAATTTAATTCAGTGCAAGGCTAGAACATAGATTTTGCCATATATCTACTCAAATAAAACCATGCAACTTTATTTTATTTATATATATTCATTTTTTTTTTGTTTATATCAAGACTACATGTTAGAGCAGGAGTTCCTCAGGGCAGCATTCTTTTGCCAATATTGCATAACATTTTCACTTCGGACCTCGCTGATTTGCCTCAGGGTTGCCACAAATTTTTGTTCGCCCAGACACAGGCATTTCCGTTAAAGGAAGCCACAACCAGCGAATCCAAACACATAAAGCAACCAACGATACAGACAAAACGGTTGCTACGACTACCATGACAAACTCGCTCTGTAACAAAGCTCGATCCGAGTAGTAGAAGGATAATGATATATTGCTTGTCTACTTTGTTGCAATATACACGGATGAGGACATAGCTTGATATGAATCGGGAAAAGACATAACAAAAAAATTCCCATTAACACACGTGTATCATCTTCGGCTTTACTTCGTGAAGCAGCTTGCCAACAATTTGCTCGTTTCCTTCTACCGCCCCGAATGAGTTGTGTCGCACGGGCTGCTTGTCATGAAAAAGTACAAAGAAGATTATATCATTATTGGCGTTGACGGCACCGTCGAAAAATTTGCTCTTGCACCAAATATAGACAGTTTCTTATGGGAATTTTCGGTGGAGTGAAAGGATAGTACAAAGTCCGCCATGTTTCACGCACAGTCTGACGTTTGCTTATGGATTTTCTCATAGGAGTAAAGAGCTACAGAGTCGCCGTCAACGCCAATTGCTTTCCACTTCTGACATAGCGTTATTATTCGGTTCGTTGATCGCTTGTCCTTTTTTCATTCGGAGATATTTTTGATTCCTTGCCCACAACACAAGCCTAGAGCTTCGCACTTATTTTTTTGCCGAAATTTGCACATCCGAGTGCTCGGCAATCTGTTTTACTGAGATCTCAGCGGAAAATGCTTTTTAGTTATAGATCTTACTTCGTCCAAATCAGTCCCCAGGAATTATCAAACATATTTTCCCCAGAGAAAATATTCAGATAATCCCGAGCAACCTGATCCTCAATAGGACTAGTAAGACCCAAACTGAAATTATGGGAACTCTCGAATTGTTTAGAAAGTTGCTGAGCTTTTAACGAATGCGCTGGAATAGGTTTAAGAGGTTTTTTTTTCAAAATGTTTATGAGTTTCCAAAAGGGTTTAGAGCTTATGACTAATGTCGACACATTATTTTCAAAATGTGTGTTCCTCAGGGCAGAGAATTGCTTATAAAGAGTGAGAGAAGCATTGGTAATTTCCATTTAATTCCACTACCTTAATTGCTTATTCTTGACAGATACGCGTATTTCGTCTACAATGGGCAGACTTCTTCAGTTACTTGTACTAATGCTCGACAGAAGAAAAACTAACAGGTACTCCGCTGCTTGCTCGTTATTGTGTCCTAGGTAGTAACTTGAAAAGCCATGTGTGTCCGTTTCCTTGATCCCTGTTGAGTAAAGTTGAATTACGTTGTTTGTTGATCTCGAAGCTCTCTGCAACATCCAATTTCCATGGTGTAGATACGGTTCGTAAAATCGTGATGTCCTCCGTCGATAGTTGGGGGTCCTCTGTGAAGATGTGTTCTGCAACTTTTGATTTGAAATCATATGTAAGGCCTTTTTCCTCTTGTTTTTCGGCCTTATTAACCTCCGCTATATGTTCTTTAAATCTAGTTGCTAATGTTCTCTTGGTTTGTCGTACGTATACTTTGTTACAATGGTTACAGCTTATTTTATATACACCTGCTTTACCTAAAACATTAACTGGGTCTTAAGTGGATTCTAACAATGATTTCAACTGGTTATGTCTACTGGTGAAAACTTAATCTAATCCGAATTATTTTAACTGTGATCTTAGCTTACAAGTAATATCTTAATCAAATCACTCGTTTCAAGGGTTCAGGTGCTGCGGTGAGGGTTGTAAATTATTATTATTATTATTTAGCTTTATTAAGGAGGCTTTCAGCCTTGGGCTGGTTCGCCTCCAGGTTGTAAATTATCTCCTTTGTAGAATTCTCGCTTTTTTATCTACTGTAGATGTAGATGAGTGGAAGAGTCTGCATCCGATGAATGATGTGGTGGAAGGCGGCCATTTTCTGCTGGAACGAATGGTTGGAAGTGCTTGTTGATTTCCTGTAAATTTCGTATTGAAGCGAAGAAGATGTTGACGATTCCCTGATTGTTTAACTACGCTGAAGATATCGTCAACAAACCTCCATCAACAGTTTGGTAATAGTCCTTTCTCCTTCAGGATTGTCTCCAAGTTGGCCATGAAAAGTTCACACAGGAAGGGGGATAGGGGGTTTCCCATTGGGGCTCCTTTCGTCTGCTTGTAGAAGTTACATCGGAAAGAGAAGTAGTTTTCTTCCATACAAAGGCGAGTCAGCTTAAGGTACGTCCGAACCTTGTTTCTCCATGCTGCATCCTCTCGTTGGGTTAATAGGTACTCATACAAATGGTTGATCGCTTCCTTGATCGGTACGCTGGGAAAAAGAGCTGTGACGTCGAAAGATACCATAATCTCGTCCTCGTTGATGTCTCCTGAAGATTGTAGTTGCTGGGCGAAGTCCTGGGTGTTACTAACTGCTTTACTCTGGAACTGATTCGGCATACTCTGGAACTCTGTGACTAGCCACTTCGCTAGTTTGTGCGGAGGGGAACCAACTGCAGACACGATCTCTCTCATTTCATTCCCCGGTTTGTGGATTTTGGGGAGACCTTTGATCCTGGGTAGAATAGGATAGGATTCCCGGAAATGACCTGCTACATCTCCTAATATTCATTTGCACTCCTTCAGTGCTTTCTCCACGCGTTGCACTATGTTCTGTAAGGGGTCTACTCGAAGTACGGTCCGTTGTTAATCTTCGTTGTCATGATAACGACCGCGTTGCCTTTGTCTGCTTACACATAGTAGTATACTGGTTTACTTTTCAGCTCTTTTACAATCCGAATTTCCTTTTCGTTGGCGCAAATTTGTTCCTGCCCGTCCTTGATTATGTTCGATGTGATAGTCGAACTGTTCGGCAAGATCCTCGAGTCCAGTAAACTTGAAGTGGCAAAACCATCCAAATGCTGGCACAATCCAACGATTTGGACATTCGCATCAATGGCCCTTCGCTCATTTTCAACTTCTTTTCAATTTTCATACTGCCGTGCTCTAACGGAACTATCTACCTACCCTCTTCTAAGACCATTCTCTAGCTAATAAATTATCACACTAAAGCTTTATGTTAGATAGCATTTCCAACCAACTTTCCTTCTTTAGATAATAACTCAGGATCGAGACCAGTTAGAAGCTTCCTGTCTTGAGCAAAGTTGTTCAAATGGACAAGACACGTGCAGTGGTGGAATGTTTAATTGGGAATTGACTGGTTAGAGTGGTGGTGGCTTCAGAGTACAAATAAGACCAGATAGAAGTTTCTTGTTTTCAGCAAAGTTGTTCAAATGGATAAGAACCGTTCAGTAGTTAACATTTTAATTGGGAATTGACTGGTTAGAGTGAGACAGAGAGAGTTAGGAAGAATTTATTCTTTTGATGATAAATCAGGAGCGTTTTTTACGATCGATTTTGTTTGCCTCCAGCAAAGTTTTTTTTAATAACAAGACCATTAAGGCAGTAAACAGTTTAGTTGCGAATTAACTTGTTAGATGACGCCAGAGTAATTCTGTTTTTGATGACTCAGAATCGTGACCGTGATGTTTATCCGACTTTTCTTAGAGCTTTCTTCAAACTTCCTCAAGAAGAGCTTCTTTATACTTTCTCTTGAAGTTTTTTCGGCTTCTTTCAAAAGCTAATTCAAACAATTCCCGGAAATTTCTTCAGACTTCTCCTGGAAAGAAATGTTCCGTTATTAGTCCAAAATTTTACCGTATATATATTAGTAAATACCGATAAATACCGATTTTTTTTTAATATTCGATACCGAGCTAGAAAACAATTCGGTAACGCTGGTCTGGAGAGCCAAAGAAGAATTCTTTAGAATTCCAAGGGGGATAACCAAGAACCTCAAGTGCGATTATTTAGAAAATCAAATGGAATTTTAGTGTATTCCAAGTGTCATTCTCAAACAGGTGCCCTTAGATTTTTTCGCAAATTTTCTCACACGCACGTCTCTTGCCGATGATATGTGCTAACCTCTCAGTATCTTCTAACTGTCGCATATAACAAATAAAAATTGACTTTCAGTCGCTAACCTAAATGTGTAATTTGGTCATATGAATAAAATAGTTTACTTTACTCGCTCCGTAAGAAAAGCAGAGGAAAGTGTCGTGACGCTTTCCGGTCATTTTCAAAATGCTTGCTGCTTGCAGTGAA